GACGATAGATCTACACAGGGGGACATTTTTTCATGTTTGTTTTTTGCAGTGGTAGTAAACTCGTTTTTTTAGTTTTACCTACAGGTGAGCTTATAATAAAGCTTACCTGTAGGTAAAATGAATATTTCCTAAACGTGCATCATTTAGGAGATATTCTCTCTTTTTTTAAGCTAGCGCATGCGTTCTGAAGGAATGGCATACCTGTGCCGTTCCTTCAGAACTGTGACCCAGGACTCCTGCGTGCATACGCGGCCCGGCCTATCATCGCAGCCTGGTCTGTCGGACTGCAGGAGCTCACGAACCCGGAAGGAAGACCGGGTGAAGATGGAAGCCTCTGCAGCAGGGACAGCACGCCGCTGAAGGGATTCGTTTTAAGGTAAGTTTTAAATAATGTGCTAGGATGGGATGCAGGGGACTTTTTTTTTTACTTTCTTGCGGTTTACTACTGCTTTAACCTCCCTGGCGGTTTTCCCGAGTGTAGCTCAGGGGAAAATTTCAATACCAAGAGCGGTAACCCCGAGCTACACTCGGGCTTACCATGCGGCGTTGCTCAGGGGGTCCCTGCAGCACTTACCTTGTCCTGCGCTCCCGCGATGTGTCCCCTGTAAATTAGAACCACTTGCAGAATTGAGTGATAATGATTCGTGGGGGAAATTCCTCATCAGACACTGAAAAAGATTCTGCGACTTTGCTCAGTGATGTGCGAATTTGCCTCTGTATTTCAAATTTCAGTGTTTTTGGTTTGATTATATTATTGAATTAAATTTATTATTATTATATTATTATTTTTTATGATTATTTATTAAATTATAATTTATGATTTCGTGTTTCAAGTTTTATCATACCCGGGATGTTTACTAGACTCTTGTTTGGACAGATTTCAGTGAGTTATTCCTAAAAATTACAGCCTACAATAAAAAACGACATATTTCCATGCAAAAAAATGGTATCGCTTTCAGCACAAAAAATCGGAAAGAATCATACCGCCGAGGAGGTTAAATAAAGGACTTGTCAAAAACTGCCTTTTTTTTGGGTGAATGAGCAGCAGTATCATGTACCCCATACTTATTCACATGGGGGGGGATCTGGGGGCCCTCTTAAATAAAGGACGTGTCAAAAACTGCCTCCTGTGGTTTTTTTTACACTACACTTTTTTTGGATGAATGAGTAGCAGTGCCATGTACACCATACTTATTCACATGGGGGGGGTGGGATCTGGGGTTTTAAGATTCCGATAAGCCTTCCGTCAGCAGACCCCACAACCACCAGCTAGAGTTGTGGGGAAGAGGCCCTTGTCCCCATCAACATGGGGGACAAGGTGATTTGGGGGAGCGGGATCTGGGGCCTTCTTAAATAAAGGACTTGTCAAATACTGCCTCCTGTGGTTTTTTTACACTACATTTTTTGGGTGAATGAGTAGCAGTCCCACATACATCATACTTATTCATATGGGGGGGGCGGGATCTGGGTTTCCAAATATCTATAAGCCCTCCTCCAACAGACCCCCACAACCACCAGCCTCCTATATTTTTTTTACACTACACTTTTTTTTGGGTTAATGAGTAGCAGTCCCATGTACCCCATACTTATTCACATGGGGGGGCGGGTTCTGGGGTTTCCAAATTCCGATAAGCCCTCCGTCAGCAGACCCCACAACCACCAGTTAGAGTTGTGGGGAAGAGGCCCTTGTCCTCATCAACATGGGGGACAAGGTGCTTTAGGGGGGAGCCTCCCTGCCCCAAAGCATCCCCCATGTTGAGGTCATGTGGCCTGGTATGGTTCAGAAGCGGGGGCGCTTTCTCATTCCCTCCCCTTTCCTGACCTACCGGGCTGCATGCTTGGATCTGGTATGGATTTTGAGGGTGAGGTTGTTTTGCTTAATTATTAATTTCTGGAAAAAAAATTTTAACATTCAGCTGTCTGTGGGGAACCCTACTGACTGACTTATGACTCATGGGTTGTTAAGGACGCAGCAGCTGCCTGCTCCTTCACAACCATGACAGTTACTGACAGTTACTAGTACATATCGCATGCCTGGATCACTACTTAATTGCCGCACGCATTTAATTATGTATTTCCTTCTGTGAATTGACTTTAAGGTGTTTTTATGCGGTAGTTACCGAGCCTTTTTTTTTTTTCGGTAAATATTGCATACTAGCAATAGTGAATTAACATTTTCAGTATCGCATTCGATATGTGGTCATGTGACTGACCTAATGTATGTGATAACCTTTAGTCCCCATTGTTCTGGAGTGACACACTCACTCACATTGGAGGAGATTTACTAAAACTGGAACACTGAGAATCTGCTGCAGTTGCATATGGTAACCAATCAGTTTCTATCATCAGCTTGTTCAATTACGATTGGGCGATAAAACCTGGAAGCTGATTAGTCTCTTTGCAGAGCTGCACCAGATTTTGCACTCTCCAGGTCTAGTAAATAACCCCCTGTGAGTGTTAGGACAGCAGAATGCCCCTCTACTCTTTTTTATAACATATAGAGAAGGTTGTGGTGTCTGTGGTTGGTGTTCGGACGGGGAAGTAGTATTATAACGGAAGTACCCAAGTGCAGACGGGTCGGGTTCCGTTACACCTGGTTTATAACATTATCAGCAACTCTGGTGAGTTTCTTCAATTTGTTCGTTGGTGCATTAACATGGTGTGGTGGTGTTTTAGGACACATATGGTTTAACCTCCTCGGCGGTATGATTCTTTCCGATTTTTTGTGCTGAAAGCGGTACCATTTTTTTGCATAGAAATATGTTGTTTTTTTATTGTAGGCTGTAATTTTTAGGAATAACTCACTGAAATCTGTCCGAACAAGAGTCTAGTAAACATCCCGGGTATGATAAAATTTGAAACACGAAATCATAAATTATAATTTAATAAATAATCATAAAAAATAATAATATAATAATAATAATACATTTAATTCAATAATATAATCAAACCAAAAACACTGAAATTTGAAATATAGAGGCAAATTCGCACATCGCTGAGCAAAGTCGCAAAATCGTTTTCAGTGTCAGATGACGAATTTCCCCCACGAATCATTATCACTCAATTCTGCAAGTGGTTCTGATTTACTATCGCTGTTCTAAAACTGATTTTGACGTAAAGGGACGCTTTTTGGACGCCATGGACTTTTCTAAGTTTCCCGGCAGAAAGAACAGTCAAAATGCAGGCAGGGCGCAGGACAAAGCAGTAGGGACAAAATATATGTGAAATGCATTGAAACAGCAATGACAGCAAAAATGAAATTTTTAAAAAATTTCAAATTTACCGCCGGTTCCGGCGCCCGTACGTCCCGACGTCACAGGGACCGGAACACGGAAGTTGGATGCCGGCATCGGCCGGAGGAGATGGCTGGAGACGCTGCAGGGGACACATCGCAGGAGCGAAGGACAAGGTAAGTGCTGCAGGGACCCCCGGAGAACACCGCATGGTAAGCCCGAGTGTAGCTCGGGGTCACCGCTCTTGGTACTGAAATTTTACCCCGAGCTACACTCGGGAATACCGCTAAGGAGGTTAAAGAGATAAAAAAAAAGGAACTTTTTTGGCGTATCAATTTATGAACGTTTTAACACAGTGATATTGTTTGTATGGACACACTGTCACATAAGTGTTGTTATATATGCACAAATTGGTATATATATGTATTGATTAATGATTGGTGAAGATTATGAAATTATTATAGTGTTGGGTGGAGAGATCTAACATTATGATAATATTTTTGTTTTGGACTCCTATAAAGCAGCCTAAATAGGAATCATCATCTTATTTTACTTTTAGAACTTGCTGTATGTATTGCAATATTTTTCCATTTCGAATTCTAATTCATTTTAAAATTCAAATTCATTTTTTTAATTTAGATAACTTGTTTAGTTAAAATTTATTTCAGATTCATTCAAATTCAGTGCTTTTGTGATTTGGAAATCGGATACATCTGAATCTTTGAATAACGAAGATTGCGTCCGAATTCTGATTCGTAATGAACCGAATAGCACATGTCTAAAATTCATGCTCACTGATGGATGTTCAAAATGACCCGTGAACTGGAATACCTTTTAACCTTTAGTACTTGCAAACACTTGAACTTAATCTTCTACTTATCTTTGTGTATTGCTTGACATGTTCCATCTGCACATCACCCACCCTCTGTAGTGCCCATCATTTTCTTCTTGACAGGTTCAGATGTGATTGCACTCCACAACTCTTTTATCTCCTGAGCAAGCAGGAGAAATCACACCTTTTGTGACGCACATCAAGTGAAAAGCAACTTTTCAAGATCATATTGAGACAATATTCAACCAACCTCATTAAGGAGATTAGTTGTTACATTGACGTACAGGATCAAAGTCTTTACCGTATTTGATCAGCAAAACCTTACTCCAATACATCTGATGTAAGAAGCAGTTAAAGCTCCATGCACTCTGGGCATAAAAAAAAAAAAAACGCCAGTTGCCTTGACAGAAAAAAACACTGATTATTATTATACAGGATTTATATAGCACCAACAGTTTGCTCAGCACTTTAAAAAATGAAGGCGGACATTACAGTTACAATATAATTTGGTACAAGAGGAAACAGAGGGTCCGGCTCGTTAGAGCTTGCAATCTAGGAGGAAGGGTTGAGTGATACAAAAGGTAATAGCTGTGGGGGGGATGAGCTGATGGGGGGGAAATAAATGGCGGTTTACTAGGTAGAAGCAGGATAGGCTTATTTAAAGAGAAAGGTTTTCAGGGATCGTCTAAAGGTGGATAGATTAGGAGACAGCCAGAGAGATTGGGGTAGAAAGTTCCATAGCAAGGGAGAAGCTCGGGAGAAATCCTGGAGGCGAGCATGGGAGGAGGTGACATGGGAACTAGAGAGCAGAAGGTCTTGGGAGGATCGAAGAGAGTGGTTTAGTTGATATTTTGAGACCAGTTGGTGATGTATCTGGGGGCAGAGTTGTGGATGGCTTTATAAGTTGTTGTTAGTATTTTTAATTTTATTTGTTGAGTGAGTGGAAGCCAGTGGAGGGATTGGCAGAGAGGGGTGGAGGACACTGAGTGGAGGCCAGTGGAGGGATTAGCAGAGAGGGGTGGAGGACACTGAGTGGAGGTCAATGGAGGGATTGGCAGAGAGGGATGGAGGACACTGAGTGGAGGCCAGTGGAGGGATTGGCAGAGAGGGGTGGAGGACACTGAGTGGAGGCCAGTGGAGGGATTGGCAGAGAGGGATGGAGGACGCTGAGTGGAGGGATTGGCAGAGAGGGGTGGAGGACACTGAGTGGAAGCCAGAGGAGGGATTGACAGAGAGGAGTAGCAGACACTGAATGGTTGGTAAGGTGGATGAGCCTGTCAGCAGTATTCATGATGGACTAGAGGGGGGATAGCCTATGTAAAGGTAGGCCAATGAGGAGGGAGTTGCAGTAATCGAGTCGAGTGATAGAGTGTTTTCTGTATACAGTTTAGGAGACTTTAGGAGAGTTTGGTGTTTTTCTGCCAGAAACCTCCAATCAAAAACACAAACCAGGAGGGTTTTTTCCTGCCTCTAAACATTGAGTTTAAAATCTGCCTGATATAGATACCAATAAAACAATGTTGGACTTTACTGGCATTGAAAAGGAACACACGTATGTATAAAAGAATATGCAAAGTGTATTAAATTACAGAAAATTTAGAGTTAAACCACCATAGACAGATCAATAAATCATAGCATAAAATAAAGGTTGCTAAGTACTAATTTAAAGCATTTCCAACTGCTAACTCACTCTACCACAAAGCAGTAGTATATCTGAATATCAAAATTTGCTATGTAATGTATGAAGCTATCTATTGTGGTTGTCCTCATGGGCCAATGTGCTTATTTTGCTTCCTCAGGACACATGAGAATTCAGCAGAGGTTACTTGTTTGAGTGTCCACAAAACGGTTGGTCCCCCTGGGCAGGCACTGGGGCACAAAGGAGGGTAGATGTAAGGGAATTCCTGTGAGATGGCTGGCTAATAGAAATGCGCATGCACACAGAAATATCTGCAGAATATTGACCAGATATGTGCAATCGCGCGAAAGCACGTGCACGTGCACACGCACAGCGAATCTTGGCACCAGATGGACTATTTAATGGATGCCTCTGCCTGTGCTGGTCTTCAGCTGTTTCCCTGTGTCCTGCTGTGTTCCTTTATGATCCCCTTGTTGCTGACCCAGCTTGTTCCTGACCTGACTTCTGATTCCTCTCCTGCCTTGATGCTCGTTCCTGACCCTGGATCTGTTCCTGACTTTAGCTTGCTTATGATTTGGTACCTCGCTGTCCGCCCGTTGATGACCCTGGCTATTCCTGTGATGTTGCTCCTGTCTCTGATCCCAGCTTCCTGCCTTGCTCAGGTGCACGCCTGGCTGTCTACTATACCAGCTCTGCACATCGCTACTGTTCCTGAACCAGTGGTTTGCCAGTCTCTTAAGGACTCCAGCTGCAAGCTCTTCAGGCAACACCTGCTGGCACTCGCGTCCCCCTGGTCCCTAGGTACCCTCTGTTCCACTTCCAGCGGGGTCAGGGCTAGTGACACAAGTGAGGCCGACCTTGTCATTTCATTCTTCTATCAGGTATGTGACAGTAAGTGTCTGGCAATTGAGAATAGAACTTGTTTAGATATTCAAATCAGTACAACCAATAGGGCCAACTGATTCACACCTTGATACAAAGAAGGGGTAGCATCGAAAGGAATGCACCTCAACACCGCCATCTAATAAATATATGTGTAGGCTCCTAGTCATTGGATGCATCATCGGAAAACAGAGGGGAGAGAGGACACCGCAAATCCCAGACCATCCAACACTTATGTGCAAATGATCCGATGAATTCTCACAGCCAGTACCAAGCCAAGATTCTTGATCTGTCTATGGTGCTTTTACTCTGTATTTTTTGTAATTAAATTTACTTTGTATTTTTTTTTTATACTTATTTATGTTCCTTTTCAATGCAGTATAGTCCAACATTGTTCTATTGTTATCTATATCTGGTGAATATGGATGTGACATGTGAGCGGTCTACAACTTTTAGTTTAAAATATGCCTCTAATCGTCCTAATGTGCATGGACACATAGGACAACACTGAGCTGCTTTTACAGTCAAAACACAAAACTCCTGTAGAAGCAGTGATTTTTATGCCAGTGTACATGAAGCCTAACATTTACTAAAATCGTACAGTTGTCACTACAAACATTGTGATGAGACAACTTGCAATGGAAAAACCAGTTCCATTGACACTTTGCCAAGAGGGATTTTCACATTAATTTGTTGTGATTTTCTGTCACTTCCAGTTGTGTCTTTGAAACAGGAAAAGAAGAGAAATAAGAAAATGTATATTATATAGGGCGTGCTTGTTGAAGCCCAGCCTCTGTAGCTGTAGGATAAAGGTGCCAGATGGATACCAGGGATGGATGCATGCAGGGGCAGACTGACCATTTGGAAACTCGGGCACTGCCCGAGGGCCTGGGGTCAGTAGGGGGCCCCATGAGATGCCCCTGGTACTTTTTTCATAGGCTTTTTTGAGCTTGGGCAAGGACACAGGGGCCCCATGATCCCTTATTGCCCAGGGGCCCCATGAGTTGTCAGTCCGCCCCTGGATGGATGGGGAGCAGTAACACTGAGGCAGGTCTGAAGAAGGAGCCTATTGAGCATACTCTGAAATGCATTACCGCCCCCTTCACCTCCTACATCCGACTCTGCTATCCTAGCTTCATTTTGATGCACAGGCAAATCCTGGACTCTACTTCCTGATCCTATAGACAGAGTTTGTGCTGGACGGCTGGATGTCCCACCTGGATCTAATTACCACACGATGACTCTTTTTAACTATTTATCTTGTAACTGCAATTTATCTATTGTTCACTAAATAAATTGTCAATACTGCACGTAGAGGCGCCTTCCTTCCTTTTTCTTTAAAGAAGAGAAATAACCCTAACAGATACAGTTAGTAGAAAATAAACTGATGGGTTTTCACTCCTTACCTATGTTATCGAAAAGTGAAAAAAATTGGCTTGGCATTCACATTAAAGGTAATGCCATGCTTAGACTCTCAGGATAATGGAAATTTTACAGCATTGCATGTGGACTAGCCACAAATTCATGTCCAACAATAGAAGTTCAAAATGACCTGTGATCTAGAGCGCCTTTAAACCTTTAATACACACAAACTCTTGAATGTATTCTTCTACTTATCTTTGTAAATTGCATGACATGTTCCAAACACACATCACCCACCCTCTGCAATGTCCATCATTTTCTTCTTGAAAGGTTCAGATGTGATTGCACTCCATGACCTTTTTATCTCCGGAGCAAGCAGGAGAATTCACGCACATCAAGTGACAAACACCTTCTCAAGATCATATACAGACAATATCCAGCCAATCTCATAAAGGAAATTAGCGGTTACATTGATGTACAGGAGCAAAGTCTATACCATGCAGAGGTATTTGATCAACAAAACCGTACTCTAATCCATCAGATGTACGAGGCAGTTAACCTTTACCAAAATAGTACAGGAGTCACTAGAAAAGTTGCGAAGGAACAGCTTAGAATGGAAAACACCAGTTCTAGTGACATTTTTCTAAGGGGGCATTTCCCTTCAATTTGTAGGGATTTTCTCTTACTTCCAGTTGGGTCTTCATGACTGGAAATGAAGAGAAAAAAGCCCCAACAGATGCAGTTATTAAAAAATAAACTGACATGGCTGTTAAACCTACTCTATACTTTCCAAAATTGAGAATGTTTTGGCTTGGCATTCACATTAAAGGTAGGGTCATATTTAAACTTTCAGGATGATGGGAATTTTCCAGTATTCCATGTGGGCTGTCCACAAATTCATGCCCAACGATAAAAGCTCAAAGTGACCCATGAACTAGAATGCCTTTTAAGTTTTAATGCACACAAACACTTGAACGTAACCTTCTGCTTATCTTCATGTATTGCTTGACATGTTTCAAACACACATTACCGACCCTCTGCACTGTCCATCATTTTCTTAAAGAAGAATTCCGGGCAAAATGATTATTTTCCTATGCAGTGTGGCTGTGCCTGCACTACATAGGTTAAATTCTTATTTTTGTCTAGGTCGGGTGTCGGCAACCCACGGCTCCAGAGCCGCATGCGGCTCTTTTTCACCTTTGCTGCGGCTCCGGAGCACACTGCCCACCAGGTGACAGGCAATAGGGTTGCCGTAGCTCAGTGGTCGGCAAGCCGCGGCTCTTTTAACCTCCCTGGCGGTTTTCCCGAGTGTAGCTCGTGGTAGAATTTCTATACCACGAGCTACACTCGGGCTTACCATGCGGCGCTGCTCTGGGGATCCTTGCAGCACTTACCTTGTCCTTCGTTCCCGCGATGTGTCCCCTGCAGCGTCCCCGGCCATCTCCTCCGGCCGATGCCGGCATCCGGCTTCTGTGTTCCGGTCCCCGTGACGTCGGGATGTACGGGCGCCGCCGGCGGCGGGAAATTTAAAAAATTTAAAAAATGTCTTTTTTTTTTTTTTTCAATTTTTAATAGTAAAACATTGCTGTTTCATCCCATTTCACATACATATTGTCCCTAGTGCTTTGTCCTGTGCCCTGCCTACATTTTGTCTGTTCTTTCTGCCTGGAAACTTAGAAAAGTCCATGGCGTCCAAAAAGCGTCCCTTTAGGTCAAAAGCGGTTTTAGACCGGCTAGAGAACAGCGATAGTAAATCAGAACCACTTGCAGAATTGAGTGATAATGATTTGTGGGGAAATTTTCCTAAAAATTACAGCCTACAATAAAAAACTATTTCCATGCGAAAAAATGGTACCGCTTTCAGCACAAAAAATCGGAAGGAATCATACCGCCAGGGAGGTTAATGCAGCTCTTCTGTGTGCCGGGCGCCCGCTCCCCTCCCTCCTCTCGGGCGGCCGCCCCAAAAGTCAGGACTCTGCAGCTAGCCCAGCAATGGGCAAACTACGGCCCGGCGGACCTTATAATCCGGCCCGCGGAGCGTGGCAAACATTGGCTGTCAGGATGTAGGCGGGGCAGCGTGACGAACTCCTCTCCTCTCACAGTCCGCCCTGAAGACCAGAACTGCGTGGGAACACGGCGAGAGGAACGCGCGGTGTACAGGTAAGTGAATTGACACAATATGGGAATGAATTACTATAGGGGGGATGAATTACTATAGGGGGGATGAATTACTATATGGGGGATGAATTACTATAGGGGGGATGAATTACTATAGGGGGGATGAATTACTATGGGGGGATGAATTACTATATGGGGGATGTATTTTCAGTTTTAAAAATGTGGCTCTCAAAATAAATTTTAATCGTGGTTTTGGCGAGATTTGGCTCAGTTGAAAAGGTTGCCCACCACTGACCTAAGGCTATGATTGTG